TGTAAGCTGTTTTGGGCCCCCACTGGGCAGAACAGTGGAGTATAAAAAAATAAATCTGGCCACATAGGAATTGTAATTTGCCATCTCATAGACAATCGGGACGAGCTTGTTTAAATCTACTTAGTGGCAAATTGGCAATGGTTTATTCTTTATAGCAATATTAAATGATTTTAGGCATTGTTTGAATGATAATAAGAATAAATAACAGTCATAAATAACACTTGTGTATGTCTAGTTCTTTGCTGGCTAGAGCTCTCAGTTCCTTGCCTGCCTCTGGGCTGGTAATTTGAGGGAAATCTTCCCTCACAGCTGCTCTGTTTGTCCCAGGGATTGGCAAATGCAGAACTGAGAGGCTTGATGGGGCTCAGGTGTGTTGTAACATCCTTATCATCTGCTTCTGCTCACAGCAAGTCTAAAGGGCAAAGTGTAAAAGATGCTGTCAGTGCAGTACTCATCATCTCAGACACTGCACTGGTCATAAGAGCTCTAGGTTTCAACCTGTAGGGAAGACATGAAACCTTTGCTCAATTATAGGCCATAGAACATGGCAACATTTTCCAGCCAGGAACTACTTTCCACTGGGAAATGGTTTCCCATTCTAATTCGAAGGCAGAATCAGCTATTTAAAAGTACCTCAGATTGGTGAGGTAATAGAAGGGATCTGGAGGAGGGAGTTAATTTTTACTTAATTCTTTTAATACTAATGTTCCATGTATGAAATATACCACTTGTATGGTTTGATCTTGTACGTAATTGTTGTATTTGGAATGTTGTGCACAATTGGATATTGTGTGCACAGGAGTTATTTCATTTTTTACTCCCCCCCCAGTTCCACCATAGAACTCAAGGCAGCTTATATAAGATGCCCAGGAGGTCTAACATCTAAGTGCTTACCAGATAACCTACCCCCTTCACTTTAGCTAGGTTGCTGAGCATGTGCCTGCCAATGATATCATACCACAAGTATACTTCAGACTATCCCCATGAAAGTTTTTGTGCTGCTGAAGGATTAGACTCCCATATTTAGCTGTAAGTGGAATGGAAACTAGAGTTCCAGGTGGCTCTGAACATATCATATGCCTGACAAAATCCTGCTCCATAGTCAAGATCCTACTATATATTTACAGAAGCAAGTCTCATTCTACAAAAGTTCTACTTCTTCCTGCAAAGTCTCCCTTTCCCCCCTTTGTTTTCTGGATGTATCTGGGTTTTCCATTAAAATGGAATGAACAAGCAATGGGAATTCCAGACTAAACTGCATGGAAGCAGGCAGTAAGAAGGTATCAAAGTGTGACTCCGTGACAGGAGAAATGCTGCAAGTGTGCTACTCAACCATGCAAGTGCTTGGAAAATCTAGTTCTGTTTTCTGTAACAGAGACCTAAATAACTAATGGCTTACCAAGACAAATGCAACAGAATGCAAACCGTTTATTGAACCCAGCACCTTCTAAACACAGATCATGTACTCTTCCACTGAACTGTGTCTCTGTAAGTCTCAACAGATTGAAGGAAACTTGGATGAGATTATAGGTACACTGATTAAAGGGTCCAATCCCTTTTCTCGAATGGGCTAAGTTTTTCTAGCCAAATTCTGTACCTTTTATTAGCCTGCTCTGCATGTTGTCTCTTGCTAGTGTCTGAGACAACATGTGTCATAATTATACATCATTATAAATATATAATTATACCTTCTTCTCAACTATACATTTATATATACGTATGTTTACACCAGCACAGATGTACATATACATGTTTCACTTCTCAGATGACAACTTTTTAATTATGAGTTTAAATTCTGTCCTCTTAAAAAGTGTTAATTTGAAAGTTTTTGAAACTTATCTTTTGCCTCCTTTAAACACACTGCATGGAACTACTACTGGTCTGAACAATAAAAGGAAAGCTCTTGGAAGCTCTTGGAAGGCATTGGGGGCACAGGTGGTATTCTCTTCTATCCTTCCAGTCATAGGAAGAGGAATGCGAAGAGAACAGAACATACTCGAGGTGGATTGTTGACTGAGATGGTGGTGCCAGCAGGAGTGCTTTGGGTTCTGGGACTACGGGATAAGTTTTCTTAGAGAAGGCCTGCTAGCACATGATGGGCTTTACCTCTCAAGGTCAGAGAAGAAAACGTTTGGAAAGAACCTGGAGAGCTTAATCAGGAGAGCTTTAAAATGAAGCCGCAAGGGGATGGGGATGATCAACAGGGGGACTTCAATGAAGAAGTGAAAACAGTTGGGGCCGACCTGGGTAGGACAGGTCAGACAAAGGTACAAGGCTACAAGTGCCTATATACCAATGCCCGTAGTATGGCTAATAAGAAGGAAGAGCTTGAGATTCTCTTGCAAACAGAGGGCTACAATATAATAGGAATCACTGAGACTTGGTGGGATGACTGGAATGTGGTAGTGGATGGGTGTGAGTTGTTCAAGAAAAACCAGAAGGATAGAAGAGGAGGTGGAGTGGTGCTTGGATGTAAGGAGAAGGCCAGACCGGGCAACCCTACTGGTTGCCCAAGCCCCAGAGGAGCTTGGTAGTTGTTCTTTCCTGTTCTTTCCCCCTGCATCATTGTTCTTTCTGTAGTTGTTCTTTCCCCCTGCCTTGGGGAGGGGAATGTGGTTAACAGCCCCGTGGAAAGTATATGGGTGGAAATAAGGGGAGGTAGGGCAAAGGGTATTGTTGTTGGAGTCTGCTACAGACCACCGGACCAGGGACCGGAAATGGATGCTGCCCTCCTTGAAAAGATTGGTAGAGTAGCCAGACATCAGAACCTTATAATTATGGGAAACTTCAACTTCCCCAATGTCTGCTGGAAGACAGGCTCAACAAAGCAACAAGAATCACACAACTTCCTGACCTGTCTGGCTGACAACTTCCTTTTTCAAATGGTGGAGGAAGCTACAAGGGGCTCAGTCATACTGGACTTAATATTAACCAACAGGGAAGAATTGGTAGATGGGGTGGCGGTGGGGGGGACCTTAGGGGGAAGTGACCGTGTCTTCCTTGAATTCCTGTTGCTGTGGGGGATCAAGGAAGTTCGTAGCCAAACTCGTAGGTTAGATTTTCGTAGGGACAACTTCAATGAACTGAGAGGCTTGATGGAAGTCATTCTGTAATGTACTGTCGCCATTACCACGTGTAGTGCATTCAACCTGACATGCCCGGACTTGCCCGGGCTGACCAGGCAATACTCCTCAGTAGCTTCAGTCGAAAGACAAAGGATCCATAGGATCCTAGCCGGCCCAATCAAAGGGCCAGCTTCCCAGCCGGGAGACCAATGGTCGCCCGGTTACTGTAAATAGCCTATCGGGAGTAGGGGGTGTGTTTAGGTGTGCTTGGTGGCGGGTTTTCTGAACGCATATAAACCGGCCTGCGAGCTGGTTTCTTTGTCTTGTTCCTGAACTAATAAAGTACTCTTGCTGAATCACTCTTGCTGAATCACTCCACGTTCTGAGTACTTTTCACTGGCGACGAAGGTGGGATCTACGACCCCATGAACAAGACCCGGACGCCAACACGAGTACCGCACCGAGCCTGACGCCGAGACCTCTCCGGGAACCGCGCAACTTCGCATCCCAGCTCTCCGGCAACTGCTCATCGCTCCGCTCCCGGCTCCGCTTGCACACTGCTGACCCCTCGAGCAGCAGCATCGCTCTCCACGCCTAGCACGCTTCAGGCTAAGCTCGCTCGACCAGCGCGCCCGCCTCACCCGGTCCTCCGAGCGTCCACGAGCATCCGCGGAAATGTCGGAGCAAAACGCCACCTCCGCTCCCTCCTCTGCTTCCACCTCCTCATCCTCCGGGCCCAACGCATCCTCCGGGGTCGCCACCGCCGCTCCAGCAGGGACCTCGCACGAAGGCATCGCTCCGTTTGACTTGGCCCACCCCGAACGATGGACCACATGGGTGAGGATCCTCAAGCACTACCTTGCCTGCATGCGGGTCACCGACGCCGAATTGAAGAGATCCCAGCTCATCCGGCTGTGTGGGATGGACACCCTGCTCCTTCTGCAGAACCTAATCTCACCTAAGGAGGTAGAGGAGGTGAGCTTCGAGGCCCTCATCACGGCTCTCACGGCCCATCTAGCGCCACAGCCCTCCAAATTTGCGGCCCGCATGGATTTTTTTGTGAAGGTCCAGGGCCCCGAAGAGAAAGCTGCGGACTTCCTGGCCAACCTTCGCAAGGCCGCCATGAAATGCGATTTCAGCAACCTGGACGAGACCCTGCTGAATCAGTTCTTGTTGGGTTTACGAGAGGCCAAACTGAGGAGGCGCCTCATTCGGGATGATGACCTCACGCTAGCCACGGCTTTAAAGGATGCGGCTGCCTTCGAGAATGAGCACCCGGGCCACGGCGGCCATCGGGTACACCGCACCCAAGCCGGAGGGGATTCGGCAGACTCCGAAGAGGAGGCAGTGGCGCAACTCCACCGCAAGCCGTCACAACCTCACCGTTCGAAGGGCGCACCGCCAGCGAGGCCGTCGGAGCCAGCTTCCTCCTGTGCCAGCTGCGGGGACGCGCATGAACGTCGGAGCTGCCGTTTCCGCGAGGCGGTCTGCAGGTCCTGCAACAAGCAGGGCCACATCGCCAAGGTCTGCCGCAGCCGCCGCCAGCCACCCAGGAAACCCAGCCACCAGTGGGAACCCATCCACACTGTGGACCTCCATTCGATCGACACAAATGCCGTCGGCCACCAGCCCCAGCCCCAGGTAGGTGACTTGCCCCGTCAGAGCCGAAACAAAGTCCATGTTACGGTCCGGATAGAGGGGTCCCCCTGTAGCATGGAACTTGACACGGGCTCCGAGTTTACCATTATCTCGGAGGAGACGTTGCGGACAGTGTGTCCCAACGGGGGACCCCCTCTGCGCAAACCACACATCAGGCTTCAGGATTTCAATAAGAATCCTGTGGTGGTGCGGGGCTGGGGCACGTTCCTGGTGGAGTTCCAGGACTTCAAGGGTTGTTTGGACATTCTGGTGGTGGGGGGCCGGCTTTCCAGTCTCCTGGGGATGTCGTGGTTTAAGCCGCTGGGCCTGACCATCGGGGGCATCCACCAGCTGCAGCAAGCCGATTTCGCGGACGTTTGCAACGAATTCCCCCGGGTTTTCGATGGGTCCTTAGGCAAGTTCACGGGGGCCCCCATCTCCCTGGACCTGGACCCGGCGGTCCGGCCCATACGGATCAAGGCCAGGTTTCCGCCCTTAACGGTAAGGCCGAAAATCGAGGCGGAACTCGACAAGCTGGTGGCGCAAGGGGTGTTGGAGCCGGTGGCATCGGCACGCTGGGAAACCCCCATTGTCACACCGATCAAACCAAACGGGGACGTCCGGATCTGTGCGGACTATAAGTGCACAATTAACAAAGCACTGCAGGACCACGCGTACCCCGTTCCGGTGGTCAGCCACGTGCTGGCGGCGCTCGCGGGGGCTCGCATATTTGGAAAGCTGGACTTGGCGCAGGCCTATCAGCAGCTGCCGGTGGACGCCGCCACGGCGGAAGCCCAGACGATCGCCACGCACAGAGGGGCTTTCAAGGTCCACCGGCTCCAGTTCGGCGTCTCGGTGGCTCCGGGGATTTTTCAATCTTTCATGGACTCTCTCCTCAAAGGTATCCCCGGGGTACAGCCCTTTCTAGATGACGTCTTGATCACCGCCCCCGACGCCGCGTCGTTTGCCACCCGACTCCGTACCGTTCTCCAACGCTTCGACCAGGCGGGGCTGAAGGTGAAGCGCGAAAAATGCTTGCTCGGCGTGCCCAAAGTGGAGTTTCTAGGGTTCGCGGTCGACGCACAGGGCATTCACCCCACGGCGGAGAAGACCAGAGCGATCTCGAACGCCCCAGCCCCCACATCAAAGACCGAGCTACAGGCCTTCTTAGGCCTCCTGAACTTTTACCACTCTTTTCTTCCCCTCAAAGCTGCAGTAGCCGAACCCCTCCATCGGCTCCTCGACAAGGGCGCGCCGTGGGTCTGGGGGACGGCTCAGCAGGCGCCTTTCCAGGCGGTCAAAGACCTCCTCGTCTCAAATTCGGTACTCGCACACTTCAACGAGGACCTGCCGGTGGTGCTGGCTTGCGACGCCTCTCCATATGGGGTCGGGGCGGTCCTGGGGCACAAACTGCCTGACGGTCGGGAGGTACCTGTGGCCTATTACTCCCGTACCTTGTCTGCGGCGGAGCGCAACTACGCGCAGATTGACAAGGAGGCTCTTGCTATAGTGGCCGGGGTGAAAAAATTTCACCACTACCTCTACGGCCGGCCCTTCACGGTCCCCACGGACCACAAGCCTCTCCTGGGTCTGTTCGCCCCGGACCGCCAGACCCCCCAGATGACTTCGCCCCGAGTGATCCGGTGGTCCGTCTTCCTGGCGGGCTACAACTACAGGCTCCTGCACCGGCCCGGGAAGGCAATGGGCCACGCGGACGCCTTGAGCCGCCTGCCTCTGCCGGAAACGGAGCCTGACCCGGCCCCAGCCCATCACATCGCGCTGCTGGAAACGCTGCCCGACCAGCCGGTTCACGTGAAAGAGGTGGCCCGGCGCACCGAAAAGGACCCTATCCTCTGCCGCGTCCTGGACTGGGTGAGAAGGGGGTGGCCGTTGGCCTCGGCGGGACCCGACTTTGCGGCCTATGCCTCGCGCAAAGACGAACTGTCTGCTCACAAGGGTTGTGTGCTGTGGGGAGGTCGGGTGGTAATCCCTTCCCCACTCCGAGACCGAGTACTTGCAGCATTGCACGAGGCTCACCCAGGAGTGGTGCGGATGAAAGCGCTGGCTCGGAGTTATGTGTGGTGGCCCGGCCTCGATCAGGACATTGAGAGACTGGTGAAACTGTGCCAACCCTGCCAGGCGTTCCGGCCCGCACCGCCCCGAGCGCCCGATCGAGCTTGGGAGTCTTCCCACAAACCTTGGTCCCGGCTACACTTGGACTTTGCGGGGCCGTTCCAGGGACAAATCTTTTTCATTCTAGTGGACGCTTACAGTAAGTGGCTGGAGGTGGTGCCGGTACCGTCTACCTCCTCGAAGGCCGCCATCAGAGCCATGCGCCACATTTTTAGCTCCCACGGCCTTCCAGACACCCTGGTGACCGACAACGGCACAGCATTTACCTCCAGCGAGTTCCAGGACTTCACGAGGTACTGTGGAATCCGACACGTCCGGTCAGCGCCCTTCCACCCGGCAACCAACGGCCAGGCGGAGCGCATGGTGCGCACCACCAAGGAAACACTGCGCAAGTTCGACAGTAAGGACTGGGACTACAAGCTGGCGGTGTTCCTGTTCGGCCAACGCACGACCCCGCACACCGAGACCGGCTGCAGCCCGGCGGAGCTCCTGATGGGTCGTCGCCTAACCTCCCGGCTGGACCGTCTACACCCAGACAGGGCCCCCGAGATGGAACCGACATCGGAATCACACGCAGCCGCCCGAGGGTTCTTCCCGGAAGACCCAGTCTACGCTAAGAACTACGCCCAGGGGCCACCCTGGATCCCTGCGAGAGTGGTCCGGGTGCGAGGCCCGCGCTCCTATGAGGTCTCCTGTGAGGACGGACAACTGCTACACCGCCACATCGACCAACTGCGGCGCCGGGTCCTTCCGAACGACCCCGAGGACCTGGAGCCCCAGGAGCACAACGAAACTTCAGGCCACGCAACCGAACCGCAGAACCCGGCCTCGGCCCCGGTCACTCTGGAGCCCCCGGCGTTGCCCCCGCAGGAAACACCGCCGTCGGAAACGCCACAGCAAACCGCCCCGCCACGGCCACAAGGAGCAGCCCCGAACAGCACCCCGGACCTCCGCCGCTCTACAAGGCCCAGGAAGGCCCCCGCGTATCTACAGGACTTTGTATGCGGGTAGCTTGGACTATGGGGGAGGGGTGTAATGTACTGTCGCCATTACCACGTGTAGTGCATTCAACCTGACATGCCCGGACTTGCCCGGGCTGACCAGGCAATACTCCTCAGTAGCTTCAGTCGAAAGACAAAGGATCCATAGGATCCTAGCCGGCCCAATCAAAGGGCCAGCTTCCCAGCCGGGAGACCAATGGTCGCCCGGTTACTGTAAATAGCCTATCGGGAGTAGGGGGTGTGTTTAGGTGTGCTTGGTGGCGGGTTTTCTGAACGCATATAAACCGGCCTGCGAGCTGGTTTCTTTGTCTTGTTCCTGAACTAATAAAGTACTCTTGCTGAATCACTCTTGCTGAATCACTCCACGTTCTGAGTACTTTTCACATTCCATGGGAGAGTGTGCTGGAAGGGAAAGGAGCGAGTAAAGGGTGGCCTCTTCTCAAACATGAGCTTTTGCGAGCTCAAGCCCTCACTATTCCAGCAAGACGGAAACATGGTAAGGGCTCCAAGAAACTGATGTTGATTAAACGAGAGCTCCAGAATAAGCTAAGAGAGAAAAAGGAAATGTTCAGGAAATTGAAGGAAGGCCAGACCTCTAAAGAGGAGTATATGAGAGTTACTAGGTGCTGCAGATCAGCCATTAGAGAAACCAAAGCTCAGTATGAGTTGGGTCTGGCCAGGGGGCTTGCTACAATAAGAAAAACGTCTACAGATATGTGAGAAGCAAACACAAGGTTAAAATTATTTATTTATTAATTTATTCATTTCACCTTATATCCCGCCTTGCCTGGCAAGCAGGCTCAAGGCGGCTTACAGTGAGCTAAAATTACAATAAAACACAGATAAAATTCCAACAATAATATATTAAGTGTAGATTAAATACAAATAGCAAAGTGCAGATGGTAATCTTTGTAAGGTGGTCCAGTATGACTAGACACTGGCCAGGAGCCCCCGCTCCCGGCGAAGATGCACTTGGCAACCCTAATCATCTTCAAGGCCTCCTGGAGGACTGGGGATGTGCCACAAGATTGGAGAAGAGTGAATGTTATCCCAGTCTTTAAGAAAGGAAAGAAGGATGACCCAGGAAACAACAGGCTGGTCAGTCTGCCTTCTGTTGCTTGGAAGAGAATAGCGCAGATTTTAAAGGGATCGGTCTGTAAGCATCTGAAGGACTACTTAGTGATTCGGGGAAGTCAGCATGGTTTTGTTCCCAACAGATCTTGTCAGAGCAACCTGATTTCCTTCTTTGATCATGTGATGAGCTTATTGGATCGTGGGAACTCTGTCGATGTGATTTACCTGGATTTCAGTAAAGCTTTTTATAAGGTTCCCCATGACATCATGATGGGCAAACTGGAAGACTGTGGACTGGAATATAGGACAGTTTGGTGGATAGGGAACTGGTTAAAGGACCGCACCCAAAGAGTGGTGGTCAATGGCGTTTCATCAGATTGGAGGGAGGTATCCAGTGGGGTGCCGCAGGACTCGGTTTTGGGCCCGGTACTTTTTAATATTTTTATCAATGATCTGGATGAAGGGGTAAAAGGGCTACTCATTACATTTGCTGATGATACCAAATTGGGAGGAGTAGCAAACACCCAAGAAGATAGAGTTAAAATTCAACAAGACCTGAATACTCTGGAGAAGTGGGCAGTTGCAAACAGGATGCAATTCAACAAAAATAAATGCATAGTATTACATCTGGACCACAAAAATGTCAAGCACAAATACTGGATGGGGGATATGTTTCTAGGGTGTAGTGTATGCGAAAGAGATCTTGAGGTAAGGATGCACTGTAAACAAAATATGAGCAGTCAGTGTGATGCAGTGGCAAAAAAGGCTAATTCAGTTTTGGGTTGTATTAAAAGGGCCATGGCATCGAAATTGCAGGAGGTCATACTGTATACTGCCTTGGTCAGGCTGCACCTTGAGTACTGTGTGAAGTTCTGCACAAAACTAGAAATTCCAGGAACTAGTTAATTTTCAGTTGCTAGACAACCAAGCCTGGTTCTGTCACTAAAAAGGCAAAGGCAGGAGGCCCTTTCCAGGCCTTTGTGGAGAACTCATTGGAACCAGTCCTGACTAGTGTTGCCAGCTCCAGGCTGGGAAATTCCTGGATATTTTGTGATGGAGTCTATAGAAGCCAGAGTTTGGGGAGGGGAGAAGCCTCAGCTGAATAGAATGCCATAGAGTCCACCCTCCAAAACAGTCAATCTCCAGGTGAGGGGTGGGGATCACTCAGAATTAAAACTGCTGATGGAAGAGATCAGTTCCTCTGGAGAGAACAGTGGAGTCAATGTCATTATATCCTGCTGAGGTCGTCACAGCTAATTGACGCTGAGTGCCCAAGGCCAGGGCACCTGCCCAGAGCGTCTTTCTAGAGCTCATTGTATTTATTTCCAGAACGGGCCTTATTCCTAGTATAAAAATAGACAGCAGGGAAAAGGGGACACGAGATGTAGGAAATACAGGGTGAGATATAATTATGTAAAATTCGAATGTATTTAATAAAAGTACAGAGACCATTGACAAATCACAATAACAGTAATTAGTGATAATGCAATCTCCCTAATTTTGTTAAGATGATTAATCCCAGGTCCTCATTAAGATTTTGGAAGATGATATCTTTAAGGTGACACAAGAATCCTGTTTATTTTTTCTGGAACAGCCGAGCAGTGCCAACCTCATAAAACAATGGGCTAAGACCTTGTAGCCCATTGACATCAGTAGATTTAAATGGGTGTGAATTGCTTAGGATTGCACTGTAACCCAGCTACTCCTCTGGAATTATTACATATAGCCTAGTTGCTGTGAATGGGAAAAGAGGCTTGTTCTACCATAGCCTCCACTCGTGCATACACTTGTCATATGATTGACATTATATTAGTGTCAGGATGCTGAGCAGCACTGTCACTGATCACCTTTGTGGCTTTCATGCCTCTCATTCCATGCTATACTCCTGCTCATCAGGTGGCTGCAGGCTTGATCTGTGCAGTGTCAAAAAAGTGGCAGCGAACGTTTCAAAAGTAATCTAGCATCTAGCATATTTTGAACAAAGCCAAAGAATCACACTGACATTTTTGCATTTGGTTTTGAGTTTTGTTTTTGTTTTTTGTCCCATGGCCTTCTTTCATTTAAAAACTTATCCAAGATTTAGTCAAGGGCAAAGCAGATTGGCGAGTATAATGAAAGGTTTGTAGACATGATTATACACTTGCCTACAACGTGTAGTAATATTGTGTTATGAAGGGTAGCATTTTAAACCTGGCAATTATTTTGTTAACAATACATCAGAGCCACAGTGGAGTGGAGGAGCTTTTAAAACAAGGGACATGGGATTGTAAAATGTCTGGGCCACAAGAATATTTGGTTGAGTAAATTTTAGTTGCGTAATTCAGATAGGCACCAATTCCAGTACTTCACACAGGAGTGATTCACACACATGCATTATACGTTGCTCAGTGTCTCACCACTTGGTGGCTCATATGAAGCTGTCATTCAGACCGAGTAGCTGAGCGTTGCCTCCTCTGGCAGGCAGAAGTTCTCTAAATTCTCAGAGAGAGAAAGATCTTTTCCAGCCAACACTGGAACCAACTGCAAGGAACACCGGATGTTCTACTACTGAGCCACAGGCGTTTTCCATACGGCAGCTGCCTTTCAGGTTTTGTGGGTGTCGTGGCAGTTCCGATGATTGTGCTATCAGTGCGATCAGTTCACACGTATATGTTTTTTCATTTCCCTCCCATCATGGTTCTGTCTCTTCACATTCACATTGAGGACTGATTTCCCAGGGTTATTTGGGGGGGGGGGCGGTTTGCAGCCTCAAGGGGGCTGCACAATCCCTGTTAAAGTACATTCCCCCCCCCATCACACACCCTCACACTTCCAGGATGAGCCTTCCCTGGAATACAAGCCCATGATCCCCTTACATGAGAGTGGCCCCATTGGCTTCAGTACATCTTAACTGGTGTAAAGTGAGGGGTGGGGATGGGATCTGGGGCATTCAAAGTAGCCAGAATATTGTTCTGTCCTCCCCCCTCCCTTCCCCTACTGAGGCTTATGATTGATATGTGTATCTTCTTCAGTCTCTCTCTGCATTGTTCTGGTAAACATTTCAAGAGCTGGTTTTTAAGTTGCAGAATTCTCCCCCCACCCCCCCAAGATCGCCTTGAAGATTGACTCTGAGTCAGCTTCCTGTATAAGCAGAACTGCAGATGCTGGTGTCCAGCCTCCCAATGGGACTGAGTGTTTCAAAGCGGGCACCCTTCAGCACTGAAACATTTCAGCACTGGCAAGTAATTTTTTTTTTTTAAGTTCGCTGCCCAAACCCACCTTCTTGGGTGGGTTTTGGGTGGCAATCTGTGAGGCGGGGGGAAATGTTCATATTTCAAGCAAAGGGCTATCTTGCGAATTCATTCCATGATGGGGAAAAGAAAGTCCAGGAAAATCTAGTTTAGGAAAGAATGGGGGGGAAATAAGGAATGACCGGGACAATATGGGGATGTTAACGATGTTGTCTGGACAGAAGGGGGGAAAATATACAGTAACATCGGGGAGTGAAAATAGAATATTAAGGCAATCTCGAAAATGCCACAGACTCCACCACTAACTCACAGCTGAATGTTTGAATTGCCTTTCTGGCAAAACATTGTTCTTGAGAGGCTGTTAGGAAATAATCTTTGATCTGCAATGGACTGTTTGACACGTGCAAGTAATCTCTTACCATTTCGGTCACTGAGTGCTGAGCGTGATCATATGGACTGACCTTAATTAGGTGGGGAGCCTTGATGGGGGAAACAACACAGGGGGGGAAGAACTGACCCCCCCTTCCCTAGCACTTAGGCCCTGGTCTCTCCTCCCCTATAGGTGCTTTGAATTTAAATAAAATGTCTGCA